CCCCCCCCCCCCCCGATTTAGTGAACATCTAGCAAACTGTACTTTAAAACATCAACTTGAAACTGACATTTCCCCCCAGTCAGCTCTCAAAGCTGACATTGAATATCAACTCAATAAAAATATAAAGATTTTCAAGCTAGCTGTAGGATTATTTCACAAGAACCTGAAAATACAAGAATGGTTGTAAGTTTTCCTTCCCAGGGAGTGACATTGTCAATGCAGAGCTGAAGAAGGTCTCTCAGAAAATCCAGAACAGACATTTTTTTATACAGGAAACATGCACCAGTGTTTCTTACTGCACATTTAAATGATAAGGAAGGCATGTGTTAAACCCTGCAGGCCTACACAATGCACTGTTGCTGTTCATTCCTTGTAATAAGCAAAAATGTAGTTACAGTGATAATACGTTGAAGTCCAGCATGTGTTAACAATATCATTTTTCGCCTCTCGCAGGAAAGGTTGAGGGGAAGTAGAAATTAATGCGCGTCTGTTGTAAAAGCAAATTACCCTGTCTTCATTCAAATAATTGAATAACTCATAACTTGTCGGAGGAGAAGGAAAAATAATTACAAAAATATGATGATGCGTTGTCACGGTAGACCAACACACACATTTAGATCTCTAGAATGGAATTACTATAGACTGGAAAAACCATGAAAATAAATACCCAGTATACTGGAACATTAGACCATCATTGATCATCCAAGCAGCTTATTTATTAGTCATGAAAAACATGTAAGTGTTAAAAGTTAACAAGTAAACAGGAAGGAGTACATTAAATCATTGTCCCATAGATGCTTGATCATGATCTAAAGATTTGATTTGGTTTGTCTGTATTGTAAGTCCTATTAACAGCTATGGTCATTTAAGGATGTGCCTGGTTTTGGTGGTGGAGGAAAGCCAGAGTTCACGGAGAAAAACCAGCGACCTAAGGCTAGTACCTGCTGACCCCCCCACGTAGGCCTCGAACCCACGACAGTGGTGGAGGGGTAGTGGTAGCAGAATGGCCACTTGGCCACTGCTGCCCCTTGATATAAAGACACCTCGGACAAAAAGTGATATGAATTTTAAAACCATACATAGACGATGACAGAAAATTAAAAAGTAAAGTACAGATGGATTTATAAACCACAGACTGAACAAGAATTGTTTAAGGATGGAAGGACAGACTGACGGATGGATGACGGACCACGCTGCAGGGGTTATTTGAATAGCCAACCATCTGATGATGGTGGGTTAAAAATAAAGTCAAAATTATCATCTTACATCAGGCCAAGCAATTATCTGTAATTTTCTATCAAATCCTAAGAAACTCTATCAAAACATACACAGCTGTTATTCCATTTTGACAGGACCAGCTTTAGACACAATTTACTTTGTGATGAAAACATGCCATCTCCAGGAACCCCGAAAGCTCATCAAGACTTAGCTGTAAGCTTGGCCCAATGGTGGACCTCGGTCTGATCCTGCCGACAGAGCAGGAAGTTAAAATCTATTCCGAAATTCATTTCTCTGACTTGCATTATATGGTTAGGAAATAGTGGGTCTGATTTACATAGGCTACCACACTGTACAGGAATATGCGGTTTTGACATGTGAATTACATTGAGTATACAATTCAATTTCTACTCAAGTTGGACTCAACTCAATTCATCACAACATGAAATCGACAAAAGCAAGATTCAATCCTTAAATATTTTTCGGGATGATTATGAATTCTGACTTCACCGAGATAGTAAATATAAAAAAGGACATGTGTCTGTCTTGACATGTGCTTATACCCCCAAGACATCCTTCAATCTATCGCCCTGTGTCTGACCCAATGCTTTTCATTGGTGAATTGACCAGATGCTGGTAGGTTAGTCTAAGGCCAGACAAAGGGACCAGCAATACAATCGGTGACCAGACCACTGCTATGTACACAGGTTATTGGAAGTGATTCTATTTACATTCCACACCATTAAGTGGTATTGATTGATCTAACTGGGGGCCAGCATCTAGGTACAGTACTGCTTGTGATAGAACAACGTTCAGTGAAAAATAAATTTTATGATTTTGAAAAGTTTCTACATAAATATAAATATAATTGTGTATATTACATAAAGACGGTTCATGTTGAATTCCAGGACATGCTTTTTAATTTTTTCTTTTAATAGTTACCATAATGTTATAGATTCCAATTTTATGTTTATGTTTCATTAAGCTGACAGAGCTTGATTTTACTGAACTGAAGCCCAGTCAACACTAGCTTTTAACAGCTACAGTTTGTTATCACAAGAAGCATGGTTAGCTTTTTGAATGATTTATATAAATATTGATATTTTAGGCCACACAACAAAAACAATCTAATGTTTTAACCTACAGTAAAAAATAATTCTATTTGATCCTTATACCTTTTTACTAGCACTATTTCGATCACTATTAATTAACAGTAATTCACATAAATTTGTATTACCCGACTTTCTAGCATCCCTATCTAAAATCAATTATTGCATGATATTTGTCTTCATACAAAAAAACAAAATATCGTAAGCCTATTCCAAATTACCGAAGAAAATATGACTATCCTCCATTCAAGATCACAGTTAAAATTGATAACAAATGGAGTAATTATAACATACAGCAGTAGATTACATAGACCAGTGGAAAAGATATGCCATATTATCAAAATCAATTTCTTGTGTTGGTTGATTTTTAATCATTTATCACAATAAAGAGCAATGGAAGGGAAATAACTCTGGCAAGCTTTAGTTGAATTTCTGGTGAAATACCAGAGTTTTGAATGGGTCTGAAACTTCATGTTTTCATTTTGATATGGAAATCTATTTCACATTAAATAAGAATCTTTAATTTAAAACTGCTCACAAAGCACATGTTATCCCACACAACCCACTTGGGGTTAAGTTCAGTTGTGCCTGAGATGAAGAGTTTCCGAGGTTTAATCATGGATTGAAAGTTTTCAGTCGGTGCATAGGATAGACCAGTGCCGGTGTTAAGGGAATGAAAACGGTACGAGTCAATGTATCTGTTTGTGGAAAGAAAACACACCTCCACACACTGATATGTTTTATCAAAATTTCTTGTAAATTTCTAGAAGTATTAATTTGGAAGTCGGTCAAGAAGACGCATGAAAAACATGTATTCCCCCACGCTGATATCCTGAAACGTCACACCAGCTATGAAGGGTGTGTGATGTCAATGCTATGTCAGAGTTAACAACTGTATACTGGGAAATTTTTGCCCAGTCAAACTTTCACCCTAAGGTCACAAATCTGTATTCGCCCAGTGCAAATTTACATATGTTCAGTGTAATATAAATTTGCCCTCAAAGGCTAAGGTTAACCAGCAGCGAAAATCTCCCTGTATAAAGTAAACCCTTGCTCAGGTTAGAATGTGTTTGACAAAACTTTGGTCCTACCTGTGAAAACATCCTCCTGCTCTACCTCTGGAACGTAGTCATCATACACATCAAGTAGGTCGTCCAAGGCATCGAGGGATTTACAGATCTCCTGAACCCTGTACATAGAAAGTAATATTCGTGTAAAATTCATCTCCCGAACCCTGTACATAGAAAGTAACTATCGTGTAAATTTCATCTCCCGAACCCTGTACATAGAAAGTAATCTTTATGTTAATTTCATCTCCCGAATCCTGTACATAGAAAGTAACCTGCATGTAAATTTCATCTCCCGAACCCTGTACATAGAAAGTAACCTTTATGCAAATTTCATCTCCCGAACCCTGTACATAGAATGTAATCTTTATGTTAATTTCATCTCCCGAATCCTGTACATTGAAAGTTACCTGCATGTAAATTTCATCTCCCGAACCCTGTACATAGAAAGTACCCTTTATGCAAATTTCATCTCCCGAACCCTGTACATAGAATGTAACCTTTAGGTAAATTTCATCTCCCGAACCCTGTACATAGAAAGTAACCTTTGTGTAAAATTCATCTCCCAAACCCTGTACATAGAAAGTAACCTTTGTGTAAAATTTATCTCCCAAACCCTGTACATAGAAAGTAACCTTTAGGTAAATTTTATCTCCCGAACCCTGTACATAGAAAGTAACCTTTGTGTAAATTTCATCTCCCGAACCCTGTACATAAAAAGTAACCTTAGTGTAAAACTCATCTCCCGAACCCTGTACATAGAAAGTAATATTTATGTAAATTTCGTCTCCTGTATGTTTATTAACACTTAAATCATGCAAGTGACAGCATTTCACAAATCTGTTTAACATGTAAATTAAATATGAAATTGTTGCCAAATATTCCAAACTGCACCATCCCTCTGCCTTCGGTTTTAGAATGTTCAAGACTTCGTTTCTCATGCCATTGACAGCATTGTAGGAGGCAAGGAAAACTAGTCAGAAAGTCAGAATGTCAATGAAGCATGAAGTTGGTGTCAAAACTTGATCTTCCCGTGTAAGTCCTAAAATGTTTTAAAAAAAATCATTCTTTACTTACTCATCACTTTTCAGCTTCTGTTGCAGTCTTTTATCATCCTCAGTGTTTGTAACTTGTAACCATGCCAACAACTGATCCTGATGGAGAGCCATCTGGTGGCAGAAGGTGGAAACTTCCATTTCCTGTTTTTGCTGAATTTGTATTTTGCGGGTTTTGAAATTTCTCCTGGCAAGGAATCCACGCACAACTGTAAAACAGATTAACAGGATCAAGAGATCTTATATCTCATATAAACAACAGGAAACAGGATCAACAGATCTTATATCTCATATTAACAACAGGACACAAGATCAACAGATCTTATATCTCATATAAACAACAGGAAACAGGATCAACAGATCTTATATCTCATATTAACAACAGGACACAGGATCAACAGATCTTATATCTCATATTAACTACAGGACAAAGGACCAACAGATCTAATATCTCATATTAACAACAGGACACAGGATCAACAGATCTTAGATCTCATATTAACAACAGGACACAGGATAAAGAGATCTTATATCTCATATAAACAACAGAACACAGGATCAATAGATGTTATATATCATATAAACAACAGGACACAGGATCAATAGATCTTATATCTCATATTAACAACAGAACACAGGATCAACAGATCTTATATCTCAGGATCAACAGATCTTATATCTCATATAAACAACAGAACACAGGATCAATAGATGTTATATATCATATAAACAACAGGACACAGGATCAACATATCTTATATCTCATATTAACAACAGGAAACAGGATCAATGGATCTTATATCTCATATAAACAACAGGAAACAGGATCAACAGATCTTATATCTCATATACACAACAGGACACAGGATCAACAGATCTTACATCTCATATAAACAACAGGACACAGGACCAACAGATCTTATATCTCATATTAACTACAGGACAAAGGACCCACAGATCTAATATCTCATATTAACAACAGGACACAGGATAAAGAGATCTTATATCTCATATAAACAACAGAACACAGGATCAATAGATGTTATATATCATATAAACAACAGGACACAGGATCAACGGATCTTATATCTCATATAAACAACAGGAACCAGGATCAACAGATCTTATATCTCATATACACAACAGGACACAGGATCAACAGATCTTACATCTCATATAAACAACAGGACACAGGACCAACAGATCTTATATCTCATATAAACAACAGGACACAGGACCAACAGATCTTATATCTCATATAAACAACAGAACACAGGATCAATAGATGTTATATATCATATAAACAACAGGACACAGGATCAACATATCTTATATCTCATATTAACAACAGGACGCCGGATCAACAGATCTTATATCTCATATACACAACAGGACACAGGATCAACAGATCTTACATCTCATATAAACAACAGGACACAGGATCAACGGATCTTATATCTCATATTAACAACAGGACGCCGGATCAACAGATCTTATATCTCATATACACAACAGGACACAGGATCAACAGATCTTAGATCTCATATTAACAACAGGACACAGGATAAAGAGATCTTATATCTCATATAAACAACAGAACACAGGATCAATAGATGTTATATATCATATTAACAACAGGACACAGGATCAACGGATCTTATATCTCATATAAACAACAGGACACAGGACCAACAGATCTTATATCTCATATTAACTACAGGACAAAGGACCAACAGATCTAATATCTCATATTAACAACAGGACACAGGATCAATAGATCTTATATCTCATATTAACAACAGCTTATATCTCATATTAACTACAGGACAAAGGACCAACAGATCTAATATCTCATATTAACAACAGGACACAGGATCAATAGATCTTATATCTCATATTAACAACAGGAAACAGGATCAATGGATCTTATATCTCATATTAACAAGAGGACACAGGATCAACAGATCTTATATCTCAGGATCAACAGATCTTATATCTCATATCAACAACAGGACACAGGATCAACAGATCTTAGATCTCATATTAACAACAGGACACAGGATAAAGAGATCTTATATCTCATATAAACAACAGGAACCAGGATCAACAGATCTTATATCTCATACTAACAACAGGACACAGGATCAACAGATCTTACATCTCATATAAACAACAGGACACAGGACCAACAGATCTTATATCTCATATAAACAACAGGAACCAGGATCAACAGATCTTATATCTCATATTAACGACAGGACACAGGATCAACAGATCTTATACCTCATATTAACAACAGGACACAGGATCATCAGATCTTATATCTCATATAAACAACAGGACACAGGACCAACAGATCTTATATCTCATATTAACTACAGGACAAAGGACCAACAGATCTAATATCTCATATTAACAACAGGACACAGGATAAAGAGATCTTATATCTCATATAAACAACAGAACACAGGATCAATAGATGTTATATATCATATAAACAACAGGACACAGGATCAACATATCTTATATCTCATATTAACAACAGGAAACAGGATCAATGGATCTTATATCTCATATTAACAAGAGGACACAGGATCAACAGATCTTATATCGCATATTAACAACAGGACACAGGATCAACAGATCTTATATCTCATATGAACAACAGGACAAAGGATCAATGGATCTTATATCTCATATAAACAACAGGACACAGGATCCACAGATCTTATATCTCATATAAACAACCGGACACAGGATCAACAGATCTTATATATCATATTAACAACAGGACACAGGATAAACAGATCTTATATCTCATATTAATAACAGGACACAGGATCAACAGATCTTATATATCATATTAACAACAGGACACAGGCTCAACAGATCTTATATCTCATATAAACAACAGTACACAGGATCAACAGATCTTATATATCATATTAACAACAGGACACAGGCTCAACAGATCTTATATCTCATATAAACAACAGGACAAAGGATCAATAGATGTTATATATCATATTAACAACAGGACACAGGCTCAACAGATCTTATATCTCATATGAACAACAGGACACAGGATCAACAGCTCTTATATCTCATATTTACAACAGGACACAGGATCAACAGATCTGATATCTCATATTAACAACAGGACCCAGGATCAAGAGATCTTATATCTCATATTAACAACAAGACACAGGATCAACAGATCTTATATATCATATTAACAACAGGACACAGGCTCAACAGATCTTATATCTCATATAAACAACAGGACAAAGGATCAATAGATGTTATATATCATATAAACAACAGGACACAGGATCAACAGAGCTTAAATCTCATATAAACAACAGGACACAGGCTCAACAGATCTTATATCTCATATAAACAACAGGACACAGTATCAATAGATGTTATATATCATATAAACAACAGGACACAGGATCCACAGATCTTATATCTCATATAAACAACCGGACACAGGATCAACAGATCTTATATCTCATGTTAACAACAAGACACAGGATCAACAGATCTTATATCTCAAATAAACAACAGGACACAGGATAAACAGATCTTATATCTCATATTAACAACAGGACACAGGATCAATGGATCTTATATATATTAACAACAGCCCTATAAACGCAAATGGATCAGCATTAATTCGAAGCGTCTTCTCCAACCTCGAATAACATGAAACAACCACAAGATTAAAACATTTTGATGTTAGGCTGTTCCAGGAATCTCGTTTGCACTGACGACATCAACACTTCAATATCTGATTTATAAGCGAGTACATTGTGTCTGTCTTTAGGTCAATAATATGTAAATATCACGATTGAACGGCATTTTTTCAATGTTCATGCCAGTATGTACGCCAATCTGTTACATACATATATCTACCATAAACCCTAGCAGGCTTCACAGAATATGTATGTAACCAATACACATTCACAGAATGTGTATGTAACCAATTTGCCTTCATACCAGCGTGAAATTGAAAAAAATGCCATTCACTTTTTATATAACTCTACTATCGGTAATGTGGGGACAAATACGAGCTGGCCACAATGATCCCAACAATGATCAAGCTGACCATACTTACCTGCTTGTGCCAAAGTCACTCTCCCGATGAGAGTTACCTCCCCCTCCTCCAGACGGGTACAGTGTCGCTCGCACATGAATAGCCTGGATTTCCCGATCTGCGCATAGAAACAAAAATATAATGTAAACAATTGTGTCTTGTGTTATTTTGGTTGGCACAACGTGTTTAAAGAGCCAGACAACATACAGAGCTGATGTAGAAGATTAGTATATAATCATCTTAGCGTGTGAATAATATTTGCAGTGTGGAAACACGCCATTTATTTCTAATGAACACAAATTTTTCATGAACACACATTTATCACATAACTGATTCATTTAACAATGTCATACGGCCATGTCATAACATGGTAACACACGTGTAACCAAACCTAAAGGTGCTGCTATTGGTCGAAATCATGGGAAAGAGTGAAAGGTAATTAGCTTACCTGTTAGTTCACAGGGTAAATATACAATTGTTAACTGTCTGAACTGTAGCTAGAAGTTATACTGTAGAATCACTCATTTTCGTGGGTTTTTAAATTTCGTTGATTTCATGGGTGATCTTCATCAACGAATTCATAGGTCCACAAAGTAATAACAAGTTTGATGTAAAGCAATTCATTTACCCATAAAATGGTGTATTTTTCTGAAAACTACGAAATTCGGGTCTCAAACAAATATCTGATTTCACAGCACACTGGATGCTGTACGATTCAGCCCAGAATGTATGACTTCTCCCTCGGAAACTACAACGATACTGATGTCTATATTTATAGATTTATGTTTTTCACCTACATTGTTAGCTGTCATAAGCTGTACTGTTATGCTGGAATTATATATTGAAAACATGGAAATGTCAAAAAGAGCATGTTGGTTGTAAGTAACACTACAATGTCACGTCACATGACTTTCTACAGCCCTCAAAACATGCATGTTCACCAGGCTGTTTAGATGGGAGATTACATGGCATGTCTCTCCTCTGAATATTAAAGAGATGGGACTTAACATATTGTTGTGCTATATACCACTCAGCCAACTCCTCCCCTCACCCTCCTCCACCCAAACCATCACAACACACTCCCCCTCCTCCACCCCAACCAACACAACACACTCCCCAATCCCTACCCACCCACACAACACACTCCCCCATCCCCACCCACCCACACAACACACTCCCCAACTCCACACAACACACTCCCCCCTCCTCCACCCCAACCAACACAACACACTCCCCCTCCTCCACCCCACACAACACTCTCCTCCATCCCTACCCATCCACCCAACACATTCCTCCACCCCAACCAACACAACACACTCCCCCATCCCC